TTTGGTAGTTTTTCTATGAAACAGAGGAATATTTCTGTGTATATTATACTTGTGCTGAAAATTTTGTGAGAGAGGAAAAGCTTAGGTAGATGGGAACACCTTGAATTTGGGGTGTAAGAATGATAAAGTTCAAGATCGGGAGCGATGTGATACGGCTGTTCGTATTAATATACTTTCGTATCATTTTGCATCCGTCTCTCGCTTGCTGGAATGTCATCTTGAGCGCTAGCGGTCATCTTATGCGCGGTCATCGATTGGGGGTAAAAAGGTTGAATTATCTATATGGGGGCTAATAACGATCAGTAATACAAAAAAGGCTTGATTTGTTCGCACAGTCAGCACAGAGTCATTCCAATAACTTTTTTATGCACGTTATGCAATTATGAAGCTACTTACTTCCCGATAAATCTCTGGAATTGAAGAAAGAAAGTGCTCAAATAATTTATAGGAGGAGATGGTTTGAACAAATGCAAGATAAAATTGAATCGAAATACTGGATCTGACTTCCTATGCGCATTTTAAGCACTTTCTTTTATACTGTTTGCAGATAATCTTGTGCGTTTTCACGTTTTCATGAAGTGGTTTGATCCTCTTCCTGGAAGTATTCCAACACCTACCGAACTTTTTTTTTATCAGCCTAGTTAAATCGGCAGATCTATGGCTGTATGATTTTAAAAGCTTTTGAGGTCTGGTCTGGATTCTTTGCTAGAGATTTTGCTAAGGTTTAAATGTAATGTAATGCTAATGTTTTAGATGTAATTTAGGTTGATGGAAAAGTTCTGTCGTGTCATTTTCGAAAGTTATAATCTCTTGCTCTTTCCAGAACTGCACTAACTTGAATTTTCTAGCACGTTTCGGACCGGTGCTGCACATGGTGCAGCACGCTCCTTTCAAGGATCTTTTCAGTCTTTGCAGGAGGTTTTCTTTTTGTCCAAGGTTATCAAATCAAAGGCCTAAGCTCCTCCTTTTCAAATGGGTCTGTAGAGCTGTGCCGACGGTTTTTGTTTAGAAGATACGAGGACAAATCGAACAACAGTTGCAACGGAGTGCGGCAACGCGGACGACGCGTGCGACGTCGCAACTTCTCTTTGCTTCGATATCAAAGAGGAAAACCGGAGTTTCAATAATGATGTGTAGCATGTACAACATAGATACTTTTGGATACTATTAGAAACTGAGTTTTTGTTCCTATCTTTCAAGAAAGCACAGAAGTCCTTCTCAGACGACAAAATTCAAACACTTCGAATTCACTCAGAATTTTGGGTATGGAGCTTATCTGATATGCTGATTACAAATGCAGCACACAGTTCTGAAATAAGGCCCCTTTGTTGGCTAACGGTTGAAAGTACACTCTTTTTCGCCGCGCGCGATTTCGCGGTCCGAAACGTGCTAGATAGAGGAAACCTTTTTTTGTGACACTGTCTTTGCTGCTCTCTGAGAAAGGGTAGCTTTTGAGATGGAAGCAGGAGAATAAAATTTTTTACTTTGTTCAATCTGATTAGGCTGCTAAAAGTCTAATACTTGCAATAACATTATGAGCAAACAGTATAGTAAGCCTTAATCCACTCCATCAGTGCAGAGTTTGTATCAAAAGAGCGTTTATGTGATAGATAGGGTTTTCGGAAAAAAAAATGCCAAATCAAATTTGCTATTTAGTATTGCTTCTCCAAAACTGAGATAGTCTTTATTGATAGGATGAGTTAAATTGAAGTTCTTTTTCTTTATTTTCATAAGGATTGATTGGCTGATCGTGTTATGATAGGTAAATTGGATTTCTGAGAGTTGCATCAACATTCATGTTTGTCTACTCTGTCCTCTAAGATAGCTTAGACGGACTTGACTTAGAATGCGGTGTTTACAAAATCTACGGGGAACTTCAAGCTTTAATTCCAACAATATTTCGGTATAAAATGACTGCCAAATTTTACGTCCTACGGTCTTTTGCGCAAGTGTTTTGCGACGGCTTTGTGAATTTTGTGAATCAAATTCACTAAGCTATACATGCACTCATTTTTGTAGTTTAGAGCACGGTAGGAAGGATGATGAGAAAGAAAGAACAAGAGAAAAAAAAAAGCTAGAAAAAAGGCGAGATTCATAAGGGATTTAGGTAACGACAGGTGACGTACGCTTTGCCACTAATGTTCATGTGTTGTCAGCAGACTTAGGGAATCCCCCTAATATCAAAAAACTCCTGTTCAATTATCTTGATTGAATTTGATACGTAGATTGCTTAGCTGGGATACTATCCCTGAAAAGCTCTCCTCCTAAGCTCAAGATAAGCTTGTTTTGATCCACTACAGTATTTCTTTCGGAATTAGTGTCATGGCAATAGGCTTTGGCATTTTTTTGCAATGAATATCAACAGAATTAGGGAGCTGCAAGTTTATGTGTGAGAATGACTTGGCAGTGATACGCCGAAGGCTCATGAGATAATTTTTCAACTTTGCCTTATAAGGAAGTATCACGTCTTCAGAGCGAATAAATCAACGGTTGAAGGCTCAATCAATAACATAATTAACATAGTTGTTGAAACAAGTAAATGTTTTAAAGAATTCTTCCATGGAAATGTTATCTGTTTTGCTTTCTGCGCCATAACATTTTTTTGCGTTTCTGAGAAGTAAAAATTTCTGAAGAATTCAAAGGTGTTTTGAATTACAAATCAAGTCGAATTTAAAATATCAGAGTCTGCCTGAGCCTGAATAAAACGTGGGTATTTGATGAACGTTGAATGTGATGTGTGCTTTTCTTGTTTCGATGTTTTCTTACGTTATATACCGTGCTTTACGCCATTGAATTCTCGGAAGTTATGAGTTGAGAACTTTTGTTGGTCTTCCAGGCTTGTTATGGTTTATGTTGTTCGACAATGTTGTTGTTGTTATCACACTGTTCAGTGTAAGGCCTACGAACATGGGGAATGTTGACGTCACAGTTATGTCAAAGTAGTGTAATGTATTTATGGCCTTTGAAGTTACTACACTAAAAGTAGTGTTCTTTTTAATTTGTAGTTATTACACTAAAAAATGTGAATTACTGCGAGAAATTTGAACTTTGATGGTTGTTTTAATGGGTCTGCATGCAGCTTATCGAAGAGTGCAAATCACTTAAAATTACGTTTTTTTAAACAAAATAACAAAACTTTTTATCAAAGTGTTTACAGTCGGGTGTTCTACCAGCTCACTTTGTGCGACTGCACACCACGCACATTGAGCGTCAGATTCCGATTCCGTTTTATACTTACTAGAATTTCTCGCAAAATTCAGGATTTCTGCTGATGAGGTCACCAATGGCCCAAAGCTGTTGAGAAATTTTTTCTCTTCTTGAGAGAAGTCGCCTAATGATGCGATCTATAAGAACTCAAACTATGAAAATTGTTCATCTTGCTCTCGTCATTGGGTTAGAACCCCTGCAAGAACAATACCCAACGACGACAGTAAGATGTAGTTTTCTAGCATTACATTCTGATAAATCGCATCGTCATAGACACTGATTTCTTGAGTAATACTGACATGAGTAAGTAAGTCAGAGCTTGTGTTTATTGAAACACATCTCATTTGAAACGATTTCAGGACAGACATGAATATCAAGAGAGATTGCGACGCCAAAGGGTTAACTTTATAGTTGGCACACTGATATATTATTAGTTTTAGAATAAAAGTTTGATATAAAAATGAGAACTGTTGACCTACCTGTATTCCGACAGAGGTGCTTGAGCGGGCTAAGTCGGGCAGAAAAATTGGCGAACGCTTGCGCTAATGAGCAGAAGTGCAAAGAAGAGCTAGGGCATGCCGTAGAAATAAAGATAATTAGGTGTGATTGCGCAATAATGTACACAACGCTGTTTGCATATGCTTGCGCAATGAGTTTTTCTTGGGTTACAAATAGTGGTCGTAGTGTGCTATCAAAAGATCGTCTTGCAGTCTCAGTGCAGTGACTGTATGGCATGTATTTTGTTAGAAAATCATAATTTTTCGTGCTCATCAAAACGGACTACTTTCTAGGTGAGATGAAAACGACATATGTAAGCTGCACTGTTAATAAGAATAGTGATGAAGTTAGTTTTCATCACAAGGTATCTTAATTATCAGGTTGGCTAAAAAATAAGTTCGTTTTGGCATAAAAATCTTCATAAATATTTTTTTTGTTTTCTATCCACGGGTCTTTATGGGAAAGTAGTTTGATGCTTCCTCTAATCACATAGCAGATATCCAGGATTTTCTATCACCAGTAAAGACATTGCCTCAACATGGTTAAATTTCTGTAAAGCTTAATTTTTTGACTTCCTAAGCTACGTTTTCTAGCTGTAGGTAGATGTAGAGAACAGCAGTCTGGTATTTGGATTTTGTTCTATATAGTGAATCAAAATGAAAACTGTGATCTGCCACTTTAAACATCTTTTATCAAAAAAAAAAAAGCTTTCCTCATATTTGCGCACCATGTAGTTGGGATTTCTCTTTGCTTGTGGTTTTTTTCCTCGATAAGTTCTATTCAAGCAGAATACATACTCCAATTCCTGTTGATTAATTATTAGCCAATTTACTAGATGCAGTAGATCTCACTTTAAATATTTTTTGGATTCTAAGAAGGAGACACTTTGCTTACTTGTCTGTCATTTTCATGAGCCAACCTTTTCTCCCGTAGTCCCTCGTCTAATGTGAAAAATAATTACATTATTTTATCTCTTCATAGAAAACACCGATAAGGAGCGCTAATCAAAAGATATATTTTGGCTTGAGCACTCAGGGTATAATATATCCCACCAAGGTAATACAGGTATGATTCGACAAAAAAGCTAGACGTACTTGTACCAGCCATATAGAATTTGGTGTTAGAGTTGAATTGAGAATTACAACAGTGACTATCCTTGTTTAAATTTTTCCCTTCACAATGCAGTGCATTTCAGCTGCCTACATATGAAATTGTATTCTTCAAAAGCTACATTGAACATTCAAACCGTGACTAAATTTTCCTTGTTCAAATGCTTCTGTGACATCCACATTTAGGGACTGGAAGACAAGGAGATCTGGCAGAAAATGGCTGATGATCTCGCAGCTGAGGCAGTGCGTAGACGATGTGGAGACAATGTGTCGGTAATCCTTCTGCGACTACACAAATGATTTCTAAGTTTATCAGTTCCTAATTACTCTTTAGTGTTGCATCTCCATTTTATTGCGTTTTCAATTTGTTACACTCGAAAGTGCTATGTTAGTTTGCATGTTATCCTCATAATGTTAAGTCTTGGGTGATCATCTTGAGTGGCGTTGTTCTGGATAGATGTTCAGTGTTCCATCTTGTAATCTTGCTTGTTGTTCGAAGATTTTATGCTCTAGGGAATGTGCAGTTGCGAGAGTCAGGTGAATAAACATAATAGGAAAGTTTGGAGTTCCTGTACTTGACAACGTAGCAGTCTTATATAAAATGGCTTTGCAGCAGATGACACCATCACAAGATTGAATTATTGGACCGTATACCTAGCTGATTCTCTAAACAATAGCCGCAGTGCTTTGAGTGACTAGTAGTAGTAGTAGTAGTAGTACAGTGTGACCCATGGATATGGATGATGAACAGGGCTCGGCACGAGCGGGCACCAGGAAAATTTCAAAACGAAGATGGATGATGAACAGGGCTCGGCACGAGCGGGCACCAGGAAAATTTCAAAACGAAGTTCCTTTGATCTCAAAAATTTCGTACGAAGTTTCCTTTGCCCCAAAACCGTAAATGTAAAAATATCCTCAAAAAACGAAATGTCAACTACAAAAGCGTCGCAATTTTTGTGTATTTTCTGCCACAAAAGCGATACTCCTTTTCCTTTTTGTCGCAGAAACGATATTTGGCTTGACCCGATGCCAGCGTACCGAGCCCCGATGATGAACCTTTCAATGAGTTTTTGGCTACTATGCGAAATAGGTGCGACAATATAACTGAAAGCCAACAAAGGTTAGCAGTTCTCCGAGATTTCGTTAGGCGACGGCAATTTGGCATGCCCATGCGTTGACCACGTGATTCTGGAATGTATCTATAACACCAGCGCAATTAACTGCTATCTTCTGAGTCTATAGTTTTCTTCAACAATATTCCCTCACTAATAAGATTGCTACTATTGCCTATTTCGCCTGTACCCAGTGATTGGCTATGTGTATACGCGGCTAATCTAGCACTTTTCAAGGTAATTTATAGTATAGCTGCACATGGCCAGAAGTTTTGCTCCTGCTCACCTTATGTATCGCCTTAAGATCGTATGTATATGTGTGCAGAGGCCGTTCATGTGCAGTGTATATTTTTTGGATGCTAAACGTATTCCTTTCACACAAGCAATTATGAGGCTTAGTCCCCGTGCTAAATTGAACACACTTCACTGAATGAAAAGGTTTATGCAAGCGGAGGCCACCACTCACTGTTGCATCAGAACAAGTGTTTTGTGAACAGAGTCGGCACGAGGTGGCTTTTGAAAATGCAAAAAACGAAGTCCTCCTTGACTTTCGCGATTTTTCACGAAGTCCCTCTTGACCCTACACCCTAAACGTAAAAAAGTCCCTCAAAAATTCGTCGGCTAAAAAAACGTCAAAATTTCTGCGTCTTTTTGGCCTCAAAAGGATGTCCCTTTTGCTTTTTGTCCCAAGAATTCTGTGTCGAGCCCTAATTGTGACTTAAGAAAGCTACAAATTAAAATTGCGCTCACAGGGAAGATTCAGCTCTGACTTCAGCCACCAATGAAGGTTAGATCTCGAAGATATCCTACGTTTCTTCCTTAGTTCCGAAACAAAAAGGATATTCCACGATACTTTTGTTGAAAAGGCTATAGAACTACAGAAATGCAATATTTATTGTGCAAATACATCCAGACAATAATTACTTTTACTTAATTCGACTATTAGATATACTATTCGGATAATCAAAACACTCTTTCGCAGCGCATCCAATGATTTCATTGCATTTTTTGTATATTTTCTCACAGTGGTTCTTGACGCACTGTAAACCAAAATCTTGGTGGCTGTTATAGGATGTAATGTAAAACCTCACCTCTCTCCGGAGTCTGAGAATATCGGGGGCGTAATTACATGCCTCTCTTCCCTTCCCACCGAACACTACTATCAGAAGTGCGAAGTAGAGCAGTTTATGGAAGAGCATCATTCTTCAAAACAAATCTGCAACTTGTTGATATGAAGGCACAAAAATACTTTTACGAAAAAATGGACAAAATTGGTAACCTCACAAAATTAGTTGGACCTCAATGAGCTTAGTACTTATGCTACAGTGTCACAGTGGATTAAGCGATAATCAGCTCGGTGAAGGTTCAGTCAATTGACGTAATATCAGAGTATATGTTGTTCAAATCTACACATCCCGATTTCCACTATTTCGTGCGCAACTGCTTGCTAGGACCCTTACATAATACTCCTCACATTTGATAGAACCAATGTAACGATTGGTATTTTTTTGAGAACCTATTAGGGAGTTCTGCTTTGATCTGTTACTGTTTGAAGACATGACTCTAGAGATATGACTACAAATACTGCAGTTGTAGTAGAAACTGACAAGTACTTCTACATAGATGATGCTACTCTAATAGGGGTCTAAAGTATTGTATCAGGGTATTAGGGTATTAGGGTTGTATTAGGGTTAAAAATACCTGAAATATACAATTGAAAAGAATAGGTCCGTCCTGAGCTCGTTGAGGAACATGATCATCGTACTTATATGCACTGAACTGTGTATACAGATGGAATACATGCTGTCTTTGCAAATTTCGAGTACATTCCCTTCCATAGCGCTTTTGCTGAATGTTACTGAATGAGATACTGCTGCTCATTCAGAGGGATGAAAGTTAGTCAAGGAATTTTGTGCCAAGTGCATGTGTTCTGTATCATCGAACAAGACTGATTATTGCATTCCGTACTGTGATCGTGGATTTTGCATTTGCAACGTCTGCTCGAAATCGATGCATTCTCCTCTTTTCCTCAGCTGGATTGTGCAATTTGCATCATAATATAATTTGGTTTTAGATTTGCTGTTCTCCGCTTGCTGTTCCGCTTTGCTCACAATGCTTTAGACTTCTATCATCTTTTAATCAACATCAGCAAACAGCAGCTTGTATCTGTGATATACGCTTTCAATTTCTGAGAAGGAAGATCATTAAAGGGATACAATTTCACATTAAAGAGAGATGTATAGCGTATCGAAGTGGACAGGGTTGCGCAGTTTCGAATACTTTTAATAGCTGTTTCCAAAACTATCAATAAATACTTGCTGGAAAAGGGACCAAACTATTTACCATGATTCCTCACGACAAAAATTTCTTATCACATCCTTGTCCAGTTTGAAAGCTAGTCGATTCGCATACGTTATCTGGAGGTCCGATGTTGTGTTAGTCAGTAGAAAGATACATTTCCGTGCCTATGTAACTTCTTTATCGCCGCTATCTTCTTTTGAGGTAACCGCTATGTGCTATAATGTTTACTCTATCACCGCTAGAACGTCAAATTATATGTCTGTTTTCAAAGAACCACAACTTTCTGCTCTTTGCAGGCTTTTCGGGTTTGCATGCTTCCAATTACATGTGAAAAGTATGGGCTCACCAATAGCTAGTCATCATTTCTATTCGAACATATTGCATAGACAGAAGGGATAGAAGGAAATCAGCTTCTGATGTGTGTAATCTAAAAAAAACCTTATGGCTATAAAAATCGGAGCAGTCAGTTTGAAATGTGCAACCTTCTTATTCTGAATAAACAAATGCGTGCTATTTGGACATTTCCATAAGTTATCTTTGAGAAAAATGCAGATTCAAATTTGATGTTTTTGCTAAATAATAACTTTTGACAAAGACGTTCATCACACCATGAGGCAGAAAACTGATTTTGAGATAAAAATACGACTGCTCCTATTTTTGTTTTGAATAATTTTTCTTCTAATTTTATCTTTGCAATATGTGCGAATTAAAAATATGGCTATGTGTTGCATGAAGTGCGTTATTTCCTTTATAAAAGAATTAAATATACAAATTCGTTGAGAAGGTTAGAACTTTCTCGAGTTTTGTCCCAACCTGGTATATTAGGTTGTTAACCAAGTTTTGCAGCTTTCTTCATAAATTTTCTCTCCCTGATTATGGGCGCTCAAACTATTGCATTATGTAGAGTGCAATGTGAGCTACAAGTGAGCACAAATGGTTTGACTTCTAATAGCGAAAAAGAAAAAAATCCAAGCATTTTACAAATTATCAAAATTTGGAATTTCCCTAGGTTTCTAGAATAGATGAGGCGTTCGCAGCCCAAATTGAACATAACCAAAACTATTGCAGAAATATTGTCAAAAATTGGCTCTTATGCTTTACAACAAATTAATAGTAATCGGAGACTGTTGGAGATTTGGCGCTTTCGGTTATTTAAACGCAGATGTACGCAAATTTTCTAATATCCGTCAATGGCTAGGGAGCAAATTCTCAGAATTTGCCGATACATTATAGAGTAATTATAATATATGCTGAACACGACTATCATATTCGTTTGCTGTTGAATTAAAACTTTTCTGTGACCCTACCAGAAAGCTATTTTATTGCAAAATATTTCTGTGATAGCGCGTCGAGAAACCCTCCTAGACCAGATTTCAGCTGGGACTGTAACGATCTGGAACGACATTGAAATTCTTAAGTCGTACTCTCCTAGGTCTGAATCCATGTGAAAGTCCTTTTAGTCTCAAAAATATGCATAATGGTTGCAAAATTTTACACAACATGCTTAACAAGAGATTATTATCGCAAGACGGCGGAGAAAGTTGGCTCATTGGCTTGTCGTTGGAGCCATTTTGTGTACATGCTTTAGATCCTAGAAATGTTATTGTCAGACGACGATTAGGTTACTCTCGTTCTGTGCAACCGAAGTGGACATATACAACCATTTGTAGGAAGACGGCAAAGTTCCCTTGCTTTTCAGAAGCACAATTGGGAGATTTCGAAAAAAGTAGTTTCGCCTTTCTGAATAGTCGAAAATTGGGTACCTTCGTTTTGCAATATTTTTTCGAACCGAATTTGTGAAATCGAGCTTTATACCACTGCTGAACCGACCATCGGCTGTACAGTGAGCGATCTCCGCTCCCAGTACATCTGAGACTAAGTTATACTTTCGTAAATCTCAACCTTTTTAGAAATTTTCACTCTAGAAGGTTTTTCTAGTAGTGGCCGCAAAATAAAGCACCATGTATTGTAGTATTTATTTGATTACATATTACACAAAAGTGAACCAAGAGAAGAAAGGAATACAAATTTGTTTTTTTATTATTTTTAAAATTTTTTTTTCAATTCTAGCTCAAGTTAGGATTGAATCACATCGTCCCTTATTGGGTTAAGGTAGCTCTCCATCTTCAAGGAGTGAGTAGAAGTCCA